GCGCAAACTCTTCCCCCCGCGCCCGCCTCGCCGCGCGAAGGTTCCGCCCAGACCAACCGCCTCGCCGCGCCCGGAGGCCCCGCCCCGGGTGGGGGCGTGGCCAGACCCGCCCACCCTTTTCCCCCGCCCCCGGGTGAGGGCGTGGCCAAGGCCCCACCGCCCCCAGAGTGGGCGTGGTCACGTCGCGCGTGCCGGACCGGCCGGTGGGGCGTGGTCAAAGCGTCGAGCGTCTGGTTCTAATAGGGGCGTGGTCACGCCGCGCGCCCCGCCCCCCCGAGTCGCGGGCTCCGCCTCTCCCGGGAGGCGGGACGCGCAGGCGCGGAAGCTCAGGGGGCGGGGCCGGCGCTCGGGAGGCGGAGCCTGTGCCTGTGGCCGCAGGTCCTGCGGGCGTCCCAGTGTCCATCCTTGCCCGCTGGTCCTGCGTCTTGCCCCACGTGGGTCCAGCCCCAGGCTGCTCCCTAGGCCCCCAGCGAAAGTCGCCAGTCCCTATACTGGGGACATTGGTGGTGGAAAATGTGCACCGGTGGAGGGATGGGTGTTTGGTCATTGTATGACTGAAACTCAGACGTGAAAGCTTTGTAACTGTATCTCACAGTGATTCAATACATAAAAGTAAAAAATAAATAAATGAAACATAGAAGTATTCATGAAATATATAAATATAAATATGCATATTTGTATAAATACATTTCTATTATATAAATATAAGTATTCATGACATGTATAAATATATTTCTAATGAAATATAGAAAGAGTAGACATATTAAGAACTTTTTTTGGAAAAAAGGCAGTTCAAATAAAAATATCAATCGGTATAAAATAAAATCGCCAGTCCCCTCTGTCCTGCCGAACTTGTGATCACTCTGCAGTTACCTGCCCTTGTTTGAGTGTCAGGACCTGGGGGGACCCCCCTCAGGCATAAGTCTCAGTGCCCAGGTGTCTATAAGTGCTTGGGTCTACTTCCTGATTTTTGTCTTGTATCAATAATCTCCGCTCCTCCGCCCCTCTCGGAGAGCCCGGCAAGCTACCAAGAGTATCTTGCCCGCACGGCGGAGCCTGGCAAGTTACCCATGACGTATTCGATATGCCAAACACAGTAACAACAAGTCTCATGATGGAGACGCTACTGGGCCCACTCGAGCAAATCGATGAACAACAGGAGGACCGTGACCGTGACCATGACCGTGATCAATAATCTGGGGCTGGAGGGATAGCACAGTGGGAGGGTGTTTGCTTTACATGTGGCCAATCTAGGTTCCATCCCCAGCACCCTGTATGGCCCCCTGAGCACTGGCAGGTGTGGTCCAAACCCAAAGCAAACAAAAAGGGAAATAACCCTCCTTTGGGGGCACTCGGGGTGCCCAGGATCCAAGCCAAACCTCCCTCCCGTAGGGCCATCTCCCGGCTCATTGGCCCCTCATTGAACCTTTCGGATCCCCCGCCCCACAACACCGATTCACCAGAAACATTTGGTGCTGCTCCCACCTTGGCTGCAGGCAGGGTTGGGTGTGGCCCCTGGCCCCAGGCTGGTGGGATATGGGTGGTGCTGGGGGTGAGCAGTGCAAGTCTACACACAGGAAACCATTGCATACGCAAATGAGTGCTGGAACCCAGCCAGAGGTCACACCCGCAGCAGGTTCTGGGCCTGGAGAGATAGTCCCGGGTGGGTAAGGCCCTGGCCTTGCACTTCAAACACAGCTGACCTTGGCAGATCCTTGGCAGCGCGTCTGGTCCTCCAAGCCCGCCAGGAGTGCCCCCCTGAGCCCAGAGCCTGGAAGCCAGTTGCTGTTTCTGTAGCATCTACCCACACAGCCTCCCTCCCAGACAGCCAAATAAATGCCTTCTCCAGAGAACCTATGGGCACTGCAGGACGTGGAAGCTGACTACATCTCCAGCTCCCAAGTGTGCGTGCGTGTGTGCATGTGTGTTTGCATGCGTGTATGTGTCTGTGTGTGTATGTGTGTACGTGTCTGTGTGTGCATGTGTGTATGTGTGTGCATGCATGCGTGTGTCTGTGTGCATGTGTCTGTGTGTGCATGTGTGTACATGTCTGTGTGTGCATGTGTGTACATATCTGTGTGTGCATGTGTGTCTGTGCACATGTGTATGTGTGCATGCATGTGTCTGCGTGTGCATGTGTGTATGTGTGTGCATGCGTGTGTGTGCATGTATATGTGTGTGCATGCGTGCACGTCTGTGTGTGCACATATGTGCATGTGTGTGTGCATGCATGCACGTGTCTGTGCATGTCCATGTCTGTGTGTGCATGTGTGTGAATTTATTTCCTATTTTCTGAATTTGTTTTGTTTCGCGGCTACACCTGGCAGTGCTCAGGGCTTACTTACTCTACTCCTGGCTCTGCACTCGGAGATCACTCCTAGCAGGGCCCGGGGTACCATACCTGAACCCCAGCGGCCACAGCAAGGCGAGCACCCTCCCCGCTGTCCCACGGCTCGGGCCCAGCTCCGTGTGGAGGACCAGAGCACGCTGGGCCTGAGGTTCTGAGCACGTGCTCCTATTCCAGCCTCTGCAGCCCAGGGGGGCCTGGATTCTACCGGGTGGCGTTGAATGAGATTTCTGACAGACCAGAACTGGGGTGGGGTGGGATGGGGGAGTGGAATCGTGTCTTTGCTGCCACCTTCCCCAGCATTCGGGACCCCACCCCCCCGCCTCAGCTCAGAGCCCGGAGAGGGGCTTGCTTGTCCTGAGTCTCACCGCGTGTCTCAGGGACCAGAGCAGGGAAGACCGCAGCCCTGCGGGGATGGAGGTGGGGGCGGCTCTTTCTCCTCCCCGAAGAGCCAGAGAAATTGCGCCGTGGGCGTTTCTAATTAGAATCTTCTAGGAAGCCTGAGTCCAGCCCCAGAGTCCCGCAGACTCGCCCACCAGCGCGCCTTCCTCTGCTCAGATGGCACAGGGCTGGCTGCAGGTGGGCAGAGCCCAGACCCTGCCTGCCGAAGGGACCGCCCCTTCCCCTCCTGCTGCCTCAGGGAGGGAGAGCCCGAGTGGGAAGGGGTTGCAGGTAGCTGCCCTTGCACCCCTGACAGGTGGGCTCTCTCTGACATGCCCCAGCGGGGGACCCAGGGCAACTGGCTAGCACCACGCTGCAGCACAGGAAGGTCAAAGGCAGGCCGGACACTCGCTGGGCACCAGCGCCAGCCAGCTCCCTGCCTGCCTCCAGCAAGCCTGCAAAGCCGAGACGGGCCTGGCACAGCCTGACCGCCCAGCTCAGGTGACCCTGAGACGCTGAGCCCGGAGGAAGAGGAACAGGAAGCCGCCCAAGAGGAACTGCAGATCAGGAGGTGCCTGAGACCAAGGAGAAGCGAGCCCAGGGGCCAGGGATGGAAAGGGGGCCACAGGCGTGGGAAGGGGGAGGCACCCACGCCGCGAGAGAGGCAGAGCCGCATGCAAAGGAGGTCGTGCAAACCAGAGGGGCACAGCAAGGAAGCATGCAAAGAAAGTGGGCACGTGCACACGCGGCGTGAGCGTGCAAATCAGTGTGTGCGGACCAGGCGGGTGTGTGCAAATGAGGCGGAGCGCGTGCAGGTGAAGGCGCCCAGGAACACGCGCGCGCGGAGCTGCGTGGGCGGGGCCGCCCGGGTTCTGGTGCTTTCCCCGGCTGCAGGAGCTGAAGCCCCAGCGAGCGGCAGATGCAGGTGCATCAGCAGATGCAGGAGTGGGAGGAGGTGGGGACGCCAGGGCTGCTGGGGGGGGGGGGGGGGAACTCTCCAGGCGGTCCCTGCCTGGAGCCCCAGGGCGCAGAGTGGCTGGGAAGTCGCGCCCACCCCCCACCTCCGAGCACCAGGCACTGGGGACCTCTGCTGAGGACCGAGGGGACCCCAGTGCCCTCTGAGTCTCCGCTCAGAAGGGGTCCTAGTCCCCAGAGGGATGGGGCAGGGAAACGCTTTCACCGTGGGGACAGGGAGTGATGGGAGCCGCAGTGCCCTCTGCTCCTCTCCAGGACCCCAAACCTAAACCCGTCAGCACCCCAGCGCCTGCAGCCCGTGACACTGAGAGCAGCCGACGGACAGGAGACACATTTCCAAAAGTGCTCCGGGGCTCTGGGGGTTTGCCCAGCAGCGCTGAGAAAGGGCTCACCCAGCAGTGCTCAGGGCTCTTGGGGCTCCACCCAGCAGTGCTCAGGAAGGGCCCACCCAGCAGTGCTCAGGGCTCTTGGGGCCACACCCAGCAGTGCTCAGGAAGGGCTCACCCAGCAGTGCTCAAGGCTCTTGGGGCCACACCCAGCAGTGCTCAGGAAGGGCTCACCCAGCAGTGCTCAAGGCTCTTGGGGCCACACCCAGCAGTGCTCAGGAAGGGCTCACCCAGCAGTGCTCAGGGCACTCTTGGGACCTCACCCATCAGTGCTCAGAGGCTCTTGGGGCCACACCCAGCAGTGCTCAGAGGCTCTTGGGGCCACACCCAGCAGTGCTCAGGGGCTCTGGGGGGCTCACCAAGCAGGGCTCGGGCTATGGGGAGACTCGCCCAGCAGTGCTCAAAGCTCTAGGGGTCACACCCATCAGTGCTCAGTAAGGGCTCACCCAGCAGTGCTCAGGGGCTCTTGGGGAGACTCACGCAGCAGTGCTCAAGAGCCCTGGGGGCCTCATCCAGCAGTGCTCAGGGGTACTGGGGGCCACACTCAGCAGAGCTTTGAGGGCCTTCCGAGCTGGGAGTCAAACTCAAGGCTTCGGGCATGCCCGGACTGAACATTCTCCCAGTCCAGCCCTGGTTTCCTTCATCCTCGCTGCCTTCGCTCTGAGGAAACAGCCCCACCCGCCGGGCCCGGCATGTCCAGGCGTGTCCAGGCGTGTCCCTTCCCTCCGGCACCCACCCCTCCCCCTCCCCCCGCAATGCCGATCCAGAGAGACTTCGGAATCCTGGGACACTTTTATTCAAAGTTCCCCCGCAGTTGGTGCAGCATCCCTGGCCTCCCCCGGTGGCTGGGCGCGGTGTGGGCGTGGCCGTGGCCGCCTGAGACCCAGTGGGACCAGCAGCCGGGTCCCCGCTCAGTCCTGAAGCTTGCTGGCGTACACCTCGGGCCGGTCCAGGGCTGGCCCTCGGCTTGCTGACGACGGGTATGGGCGCTCCGCAGCCCCCAGGGACTTGGGGGCCGCCGTCCCCTGCGTGATCTGGGAGTCGTGTGTTGTTTCCCCGTCAAAGCCGCCCATGTCGCTGTTGGGGGGGGCGGTGAGAAGCGTCGCCATTAGGGGGTGGGGGGTCCGGCTGGCCCGCGATCCCTCATCACCGACGTACTTCACTGACGTGGAGTTTCTTTGGGGGTTCAATTGAGGGGGGAGGGGTGCTCCTAGGCAGAGCCCAGGGGGCCTGGGGGTTGGCCCACATGGAGGAGAGCCTGAACTCAGGGCCGGGGCCAGACTCAGCGAAGTCGCAGCTTTCATCCGGTGGAACGAGCTTTCCGGGGCATTGGCAGTGCCAGCCCTGGGGTCGCCACCTCTGAGAGCTGCTTGAACAATCTCTAGAGCTTGGGACGCTCTGCGTGTGGGAGCCCCGATTTCATCCCTCAGACCACAACACGGGGGGGGGGGCACTCCCCGGGCACTGCACAGAAGGAGACCCCAAGGACCACTATGGTTGTTATTATTGTTATTTTGTTGGGGTTTTTTGTTGTTGTTTTTGGGGTTTTTTTTTAATTTTAGGTCATACCCGGCAATGCACAGGGGTTCCTCCTGGCTCATGCACTCAGGGATGACTCCTGGCAGTGCTCGGGGAACCCTATGGGATGCTGGGAATCGAACCCCGGTGCAAGGCAAACGCCCTCCCCGCTGTGCTGTCACTCCAGCCCCCAAGGCCAGTGCTTTAGCCCCGTGCCTGACCCGGTCCTGCTACCATCCCTCCGACTGTCTCTGAGGCTTTTCCTCTCGAATCCCCCCTCCCGGGGACAGTGAGATGCCCTCTGGGTGCTGACATTCCCCGGCCCTCCCCGCCACGCTGAGGAGCACACTGGAGTCCTCCCCGTTGCTCAGGCAGGATCTGCCCTGGCCTCCGGGCTGCCCACACAGGGTGGACGGAGAATTTGGATCAGAAGTAAACACGGGTCAGAGCTGTCGGGGCAGGGGTCCCTGGGTGTGTGTGCGTGCGTGCATGCTGTGTGTGTCCGTGTGTGCATATGCATGCATCTGTATGCATTTCTACTATGTGCATACACGTGTGCATGTGTGTGCGTGTGTGTATGCATGCTTGTGTATACATGTGTATATGTGCATTATGTATGCATGAGTGTGCACGTATGCATGTGTGCATGTGTTCATGTGTATCTCTGTACATGTGTGTGCATGTGCGTCCATTTGTATATGTTTGTGTGTACATGTGTGTATGTGTGCATGCTTGTGTGTGCATGTGTGTGTACATGCGTGCGTGTGTGTCCATGCGTATGCGTGGGCATGTGCGTCCATTTGTATATGTTTGTGTGTACATGTGTGTGTGCATGCTTGTGTGTGCATGTGTGTGTACATGCGTGCATGTGTGTCCATGCGTATGTGTGTGCATGTGCGTCCATTTGTATATGTTTGTGTGTACATGTGTGTGTGCATGCTTGTGTGTGCGTGTGTGTACATGCGTGCGTGTGTGTCCATGTGTATGTGTGTGCATGTGCGTCCATTTGTATATGTTTGTGTGTGTACATGTGTTTATGTGTGCATGCTTGTGTGTGCGTGTGTGTACATGCGTGCGTGTGTGTCCATGCGTATGTGTGGGCATGTGCGTCCATTTGTATATGTTTGTGTGTGTGCATGTGTGTATGTGTGCATGCTTGTGTGTGCGTGTGTGTGTATAGGCATGCGTGTGTGTATGCATGCTTTTGTGTGTGTGTGTACATTGCGTGCATGTGTGTCCATGTGTATGTGTGGGCATGTGCATCCATTTGTGTATGTTTGTGTGTGCATGTGTGTATGTGTGCATGTGTGCATGCTTGTGTGTGTGTGCATAGGCATGAATGTGTGTATGCATGCTTGTGTGTGCGTGTGTGTGTACATGCGTGCTTGTGTGTGCATGTGTATGTGTCTGTGTGTGTGATACACACCACCTCCAAGAGTGTGGGAGTCCGGGCTTCCCTGTGGCGCTTGGTCTGCCTGTCTGGGCTGCTTGGCCCCTGCTGGGCCTCTCCAGGGACACACCTTGGAGTGCTCGGGGCCCATGCCGAGGGGTCAGGGTCCGACTCAGGGCCTGGTGCACCTGGGCTGCTTCCCCCAAGCCCCAGCTCTGCGAGCGCTGCTCTGTGACCTCAACCCCAGCCTCCGCGGACAGGGGTTTTCCACTTAACCCCCCCAACTGCGCAGGTGGGCGGGACGGACCGGGCACTCCCTCGCCCAGCACATGCTCAGAGAGGAGGGAGAAGCTCAGTGGTCAGTGGTCAGCGGTCAGCGCCTGAGCCGGCAGTCACAGTGGCCACGGCCCACCCAGCACAGCCCCCTGCCCCGGGCCACCCCGTCTCCTGGGCTCTCCGCTGACAGGAGGACCCTGGTGCTGGCTGTGTCCCCCCACCCCTCACCCCTGCAAACTCACATGAGGCTGAAGATGACGGCCCCCGTGAAGGCCACCAGCAGGAAGAAGGGCAGGGAGCCCAGGATGGACGTGATGACGATCATGCCCCCGCTGCGCCGGCCCGGCCACGTGTCGATGGCTGCGTAGGGGGTGGCTACAGACAGAGGCTCTGTCACCCAGCTGGGGGGCGTCCCGGAGCCCCTTACCCCGAGCCCACCCCCAACGTCCCCTGGGAGTCTCATCTCATCTCCTCTCTGCGCGGACTGTTCAGTTTTGTTTTGTTTTGTTTTTTCTGGGTCACACCTGGCAATACACAGGGGTTCCTCCTGGCTCTGTGCTCAGGAATCACTCCTGGTGGCGCTCAGGGGACCCTATGGGATGCTGGGAATCGAACCCAGTATGCCGCGTACGAGGCAAACGCCCTCCCCACTGCACTATTGCTCCAGCCCTTTTTTTTTTTCAGCTTTTTGGGTCACACTCGGCGATGCCCAGGGGTTCCTCCTGGCTCTGCACTCAGGAATGACTCCTGGTGAAGCTCGGGGGACCCTAGGGGATGCTGGGAGTCGAACCCAGGTTGGCTGTGTGCAAGGCAAATGCCTTACCCCCCTCCCTTGATTTTTATCTATGTTTGGGGCCCCTGCGGCTCCCCCATAAGCTCCAGCCCCTGGCGCCACCTCCCAGGTCTCACCCTTTGCATCATTTTAAATTATAACTGGGGGCTGCAGCGACAGGACAGTGGGGAGGACACTTTGCTCGCCTGAAGAGGCCCCAGGTTCAGTCCCCGGCACCCACTATGGCGCTGGAGTAACTCCTGAGCGCAGCCAGGCCTGGCCCCAAAGCAAAAATAAATTTTCAGTGGACTTGAATTTTCAGAGGCCAGAGGATGAGTCCAGGGATGAAGGTGGCCGGGGCCGAGCCCGGCTCCGTCCCCAGCACTGCTCAGCCCCCCAAGCACCGCCGGGTGTGGCCCAGCCCCCCCCAGCCCCACCCCGTCGGGACCACCTTGACCAGAGCCGGGCCTGGCAGGTGAGGAATTCCCAGGGGTCCTGCACCTCCAGACCAGCCGCCATCAAGGCGGCTGGGGAGGGCGCTGGGGCCCAGGGGCCGCCAGGAGCCCCCCTGCCTTGGTCACGTGTCACCATCTGGGACCGGCGCGAACAGTCTGTGGTCGGGGCAAGTCGCCTCCTCCGGACTCAAGCCCAGGCCCGCAGGCCCGAGACAGCTCCCGCATGCTCTGCCCCCCACCCCAGCCGGCCCGCAGAGCACTGGGCCCTGAGCCCTGGCCTGGATTACCCAAGGGAGCAGGAGCAGGGGAGCACTGGGGAGGAGCAGTGCCCAGGAGCTCCGCCTCAGGCCGGGCAGGACGGTCTCCATAGGGACGCAGGCCCCACGTGTCACAGAGGCGGGCAGGAGACCCCTGGGAGCCCCGAGCTGCCGGGAGGGCCCAGGGCAGCGTGCACCCCCCCACCCCGTTGGGGCTCGAGGCAGCGGGAAGAGGGTCCAGAGGTGGGCGTGGTCACAAGCCTGAGAAACGCCCACCTCCAAGTCTGCCAGAGCTGTCGGGGGAGACCCCACCTGGGGTGCGGGCACCTGGGCCCCAGGACACCCAAAAACCCCCGGGCCTGGACGCAAATGCGGGGGCGGGCCAGGGAGTGTCCGCTGGGTCTGCCCCTGCCCCTCCCTCTCTGCCCCTCCCCCTCCCCCGCCCTCCCCTTGCCCCTCCCTCCCTTCCCCTGCCCCTCCCTGCCCCTCCCCTCCCCCTGCCCTTGCCCCTGCCCCACCTCACTACTCCCCTCTGCCCCTCCCCTCCCACTGTCCTTCCCCTCCCCGCCCCTCCCCTTCCCCTGCCCCTACCTCCCCGCCCCTCCCTTCCTCTCCCCTCCCCTTCTCTAGTCCCTGCTCCTTCCCTCCCCCTCCCCCTCCCTCTCCCCTCCCCCACCCCTCCCTCTCTGCCCCTCCCTCCCCTCCCCTGCCCTTGCCCCTGCCCCTCCTCACTACTCCCCTGCCCCTCTCCTCCCCTTGCCTCTCCCCTCCCCTCTGCCCTCCCCTCCCCCTGCCCCTACCTCCCCACCCCTCCCCCTCCCCTGCCCTTCCCTTGCCCCTGCCCCTCCCCTCCCCTCCCCTTCTCTAGCCCCTGCTCCTTCCCGCCCCTCCCCCTCCCTCTCCCCTCCCCCTGCCCCTCCTCACTCCTCCCCTGCCCCTCCCTTGCCCCACCCCTCCCTCTCCCTCTCCCTCTCCCTCAACCCCTCCCCTGCCCCTCTCCTGTCCCTCTGCTGACATGCCCCCTCCCCTCCTTCTCCCTCCCTCTCTCCCCCTCCCCTGCCCACGCCGCCCCTATGCTCACAGGCCAAACCGCTGCCGACCCAGGCCCAGGGCCCAGGAGGACTCGGGGAGGGGTGCTCAGGGCCATTCTGGGCCGCACTCAGGTGGGTGCTCGTGGGTCTCTCCTGGCCGTGCTGGGTGGTGGGGGTGGCACGTGGTGCTGGGCAGAGGCTGAGCCCCGTCCCCAGCCCTCTCTTTGGCCCAGAGGCGACCTGCAGGGCACCGCTCTGCCCCATACTCCCGCTTGGGCTGCCCCCTCCTCCAGGAAGCCTTCAGTCCTGCCTCTATCCCTGGACGCACACACCGCTGTCCTGTCACCCTGTCACCCTCCCCACTGTCCTCCAGGTGTCTGGGACCCGAGCCAGGCGGGGGGGGGGGGGCTGCTTCCCGCCCAGGGCCTGCCCCACTTACGCCGGCCTGTGCGGATGGGGTTTGACCACAGCGTCTGCTCCTGCACCAGCCCGCTGGACGTGTTGACGAGGACGTACTTGAACCTGGAGCACACAGCGAGGAGCACCGTCACCCCCGGGAGCCCACAGCTCCAAAGGGGGGCACACGTGCCACGGGGGGGCAGTGCAGAGGGGTGCAGCCTAGGAAACGGGAGCTCGGGGGCTGTGAGGTGTGCCCTGGGTGGCAGGTCCTCCTGCTCTTGGCACAGACTCCCGCTTGGGCTGCTGCCTCCTCCAGGAAGCCTTCAGTCCTGCCTCTCTCACTGGACGCACACACAGCCGTCCTGGCATCTGTGCCTGCCTCTGTTTCCAGCCTGGCCCTTGGGCTCACAAAAGGGACTTTAGAAAGGGGAGGGAGTCGGGGCACGACAGGACAGCAGGGAGGGCACCTGCTTGCATGTGTCTGATCCTGGTTCAATCCCCGACTCCCCTCCTCAGGGTCCCCCCAAGCCCCGCAGGAGTGATCCCTGAGTGAGAGCCAGGAGGAAGCTCTGAGCCCCCCTCCAAGTGTTCTCCCAGGTTGGCCACATGCAAGGGCAGGGCCCTCCCCGCTGTCCCGCTGTGCCCATTTCTCTGATTTGAAGAGGGGGTGGCCATGCCCTGAGCCCCCAAGTACGGGGCGGGGCAGGTTCTGCAGACCAGGGGGAGGGAGGGGTCCTGTGGGGTGGACAGGGACTGCGCCACCTGCTGGTGGCTGCAGAGAGCGGGCCTAGAGGGGAGAGACCCTGAACTCATGGGTCCACAGGGACTGTGGGTGCAGAGGTCAGGGTGCAGAGGTCAAGGTGCAGAGGTCAGGCCGGCTCCAGCTCTCATCCACAGACACTCACCGTGGGGGTCCAACCACAGGGTACCTGGCCTCGGGTGGGCAGCACCGGACGGCCGCCGAAGGGGACTCACACTAGACTGGATGACCCCTGCCCTCTTGGGGCCACAGTTTCCTTCCCGCCCAGGAGCACCGGGTGCGAGAGCCCACTGCCGCTGGCACCCCGGCTGCAGACACCCACCTGTACTTTGTGTCCCCTGCCAGGGGCGGGTTGCAGAGGCCCTGGAAGTTGGGGTCGGACAGGCAGGTCCCGTCGTCGCCCACCCGGACGAAGTACGTGCTTAGGATGTCCGAGACCCGGGACGTGTCCCTGACGGCGTCCACGCTGGGCAGGTCTCCGCAGGGCACCAGGGCGAAGGCTGAGGCCTTGTAGGGGCCCCTCTGGCCGCCCTCCGTCTGCTGGAACGAGGCACTCAGCGGGGCCCCGTGGCCGTCCTGCACCGATGCGTTCCAGGTGCGCTCTGGAGAGGCGGAGCCCGTGAGGTCCTGGATGGTGTGGCTCGGAGCCACACACACAGGCACGCACACTCATGTAGGCATGTACGCAGTTACACACACACATGCATTAGGCATGCACGAAGTTGCACACACATGTAGGCATGCATGCAATTGTACACACATGTAGGCATGCACACAGTTGTACACACTTGTAGGCATACACACAGTTGTACACACTTGTAGGCATACACACAGTTGTACACACTTGTAGGCATACACACAGTTGTGCACGCATCACATTGAGGAGAGAGACCCCAGGGGCTGAGGCGCTGGCCTCTCACACAGCCGAGCCGGGTTCACTCTCTCTCCCCATGTAGGCTCTCCCGAGCACCACCAGGAGTGAGCCCTGAGGGGCCGGAGCAATAGCACAGCATTTGCCTGGCACACAGCCAACCCGGATTCGATCCTCGGCATCCCTTAGGGTCCCCCGAGCACTGTCAGGAGTAATTCCTGAGTGCAGAGCCAGGAGGAACCCCTGACCATCGCCGGGTGGAACCCAAAAAGTTCCCCAACGCCCTCTCCCCCCAGAAAAAGAGTGTTCCCTGGGGCTGGAAAGATAGCACAGTGGGTAGGGCGTTTGCCTTGCACGCGGCCGACCCAGGTTTGATTCCCAGCATCCCATAGGGTCCCCCGAGCACCGCCAGGAATAACTCCTGAGTGCAGAGCCAGGAGTAACCCCTGTGCATAGCCGGGTGTGACCCAAAAAGCAAAAAAAAAAAAAAAAAAGTGCTCCCTGAGCACTGCTGGGTGCGGGAGACAGTGATGTTCACTGGAGCCCGTGTGAGGCATGGCTGCGGTGTCCTCTCCTGGGAGCCTGCGGTCAGCAGGCTCAAAGGCTCTGGTCCAACCCTGAAGCCCCTTGGGAGCTGCAGGACTTGGACTTCCGGCCAATGGGCACCTGGGCTATGCTCCCCGTTGACCTCACAAGGCTTTCTTGGAAGTTTCCTTGTGAATGGCAGCTCCGGGGCATGCAAGGCCTGGGCGTGGCCCAGCTGCTTGGGGTGGTCACTCTCCACAAGCCCACGGTCCCCCAGACAGGGCTAGACAGTGGGTGATCTCAAGCAGGCGGGCCTCCACCTGCCCTTCTGCCCGCTGGCTCCCCTCGGGGGACACACAGCCCGGCCTTACCCGAGTCCACCAGGACGTACAGGAAAACCTCATAGGTGCCGGGCAGCGGGGCGGCACCGTCAAACACGCACAGCGGCTTCTCCAGGGCCACCGTGGTGAGCGTGGGGTTGTTGGTGGCCAGGTTCACGCTGGCCAGTTGGGGCTGGAGGTCAACACCTGGAGGGGGCAGGAAGGGCCAGGAGGTCACGCCCATGGGATGCCTGGGCACCCCGCCTCCCGCACTCTGACCCACGCCTGCCCGTCTGGGGTGCCCCAGAACCCACTCCTGGCTGGCCATGGGGTTTCCACTCCCCCTTGGACATACTTAGGGCCTGGACTCAGGTCTGGGCAGCGCGCTGGTCCCCGCCTGGGGCCCCGAGCAGAAATGAGGGGTCCCTGCAGAGCTGTGGCCCTCTCCCACCCCCACCGCGGTGTTGGGTGGCTGTGGACCCCTGCAGCTCTCCAGGTGGGGCGCCCCCTCCTCCTTCACCTGTTCCCTACTGACCAGCCTTCTGCTCTGACACGCAAAGCTGACCACCTCCGGGGTGGCCCCTTCTATGTGTCTGGGCCCTGCGGGGCACCTGGCCCTGGCCCTGGCCCCCCCTCGACCAGGCATCACCCGAGCTGTCCCTTGCATTCTCTCTCTCCATCAGTGTCCATGCATGAGTCCCGGTCCCCAGCGCCCACCGCCAGTTCCAGTTCCCAGTCCAGGCTCCCCTTGGACCCCGGGGAGGAGGGCCGGGGGCAAGCGGCAGGACCCCCCCTCACCTAGCCCCCACCCCCCGCCCTTACCCGAACCACGTCGCAGGCAGCTGAGGGCCAGCAGGGTCCAAAGCGGAACCATGACCCGGGAGAGAGCCCCGGCGCGGGCTCAGGGCTGCAGGTGCAGGTAGGAGCGCGCACCCCTGCCCGCACCTGGACCGGGCGCGCCCCGCCCCGCCCGCCCCGCCGGCCAATCCGAAGCCTCCTAGCAGGGCCTATTTGCATATCCCCGCCCAGACCTGGGAGCCCGCCTGTTTATTTGCATACTCCCCGCCCCTTGGCCACACCCTCCGGCGGGGCGCCCAGGACCAAGTGCGTCTGAGCTGGCCCTCCTGCAGGCGTCCTCACCTAAGCGCCTACTGTGTGCCAGGGTGCCAGGGCCCTGCTCCCACGGATCTTTAGCCTTCGTGAGACTGGAGGGAGAAACAATCCCCCTCCTGGCTTTCTTTGCTTTTTTGGGTCACACCCAGCGCTGCACAGGGCATCCTCCTGGTTCATGCACTCAGGAATGACTCCTGACAGTGCTCGGGGGAATCAAATGGGATGCTGGGAACTGAACCCGGGTCGGCCGTGTGCAAGGCAAACGCCCTCCCCGCTGTGCTATTGCTCCAGCCTTTATCTGGCTCTTTTGGGGGCGAGGGCTGACTCCTGGCTCTGTGCTCAGGGATCACTCCTGGCACAGATCCACACCTGGGGCATCATAAGGGATGTCGAGGATCGAACCCGGGGGGTCACATGCAAGGCAAGCGCCCTCCCCTCCGTCCTATGACTGCGGCGTCCAGTCCTCCCTTCTCCGAGCCTTAGTTTCTCTTTGTTGTTGTTTATTGTTTGTTTTTGTTTGTTTGTTTTGGGTTTTGCTTTTTGCTTTTTGGGTCACACCCAGCAATGCTCAGGGGTTACTCCTGGTTCATGCACTCAGAAATTACTCCTGACGATGCTCGGGGGACCATATGAGATGCTGGGAATCAAACCCGGGTCGGCCGCGTGCAAGGCGAATGCACAACCCGTTGTGCTATTGCTCCAGCCCCTCTCTTTCGTTTTTTAATTTTTTTTGTGTGTGTGTGTCTTATGGGGTCACACCCGGCGATGCTCAGGGCTTACTCCTGGCTCTGCGCTCAGGAAAAATTCCTGGCGGTGCTCAGGGGACCATATGGGATGCCCGGGATCAAACCCAGATCGACCGCATGCAAGGCAAACGCCCTCCCCGCTGTGCTGTGGCTCCGTGCTCAGTCCTTCCTTCTCTGAACCTTGCTTTCTTTGCTACAAAATGAGGACCAACCTCTGACAGCTGCTGCTGGCTGCTGTGATATGCCAGGTGTTCTCGGGCAGGTGCCAGGTGCTCTCGGGAAGGTGCCATCAGACCTGACAGACCTTCAAGTGCCAGTCTCTGCGCCAGCTGAGACTGTGCACCTGCTCACTCATTCCCTAAATGAAGGACCCCCAATGGTCGCCTGAGCTCACCAGGAGTGATCCCTGAGTGCTGAGCCAGAAGTAAGTCCCAAGCACTGCCAGGGAAGGTCCCCAAACAAAAACTAATAATAGTTAATAAATGAAAGATTTTTAGGGAACAGGCCGCAGGAGTCTGCGGCTGGCCACTTACTGAAAGATTGAAACCCTACATTGCCTGGCCCTCCTGAGGGACAGCGCCACGGCTCTGAGAAGGGCCTGGTCCTCCTGCCCGGAAGCTTCACCCGAATGTCATCTGAGCAGACGGGCCCCTGAAGGGCATCTCCCAGCATCCCTTTCCATGTGGGAGCCCTGGCTTTGGTGGTCCCGGGACTGCGTGGCCGGAGCACTGAGCTGAAAGAAGTCTCCGAGCACCACTGGGTGTGGCCCCCAAACTGAAACCCCACAAACCGCTTCCTCTCATCGTGCCTCAGTTTCCCCTCTGTGCCCCAGGGAGGGGCCGGGTGGCGGTGGGGGGTGACTGTGTTCCTAACCGCCCCTGACCTCAGACTCGGCATGGTTTCTCTCTCTGAGCATGCCTGTGGACTCACGTTCCCGCCCAGGAGGGTTGGATTATTCTCGAACAAACAGGACAGCTCTTGAAGTCTCTGCCAGGTCCATCGCTCAAAGAGGAGGGCAGATGTCTGAGCCCCCCCCCCCCCCCAACTCCCAGGGTCTTCTGCCAGAGGCCGCGGTTTCTCACAAAGAAACAAAACAGCAATCTTCTCTTTTCTTGCCCAAATATGGTGAGAACATCTGGGGGTGGAGGCGAGAAGTTAAAATAATAATTTCCTAAAATCCCAAAAATGTCCAGGGGTGGGGGGTGGGGGTGAAAGCTTGGATTTGTAAAGCAAGAATTGCACTTTTGAGAGCAGCTGGCTTGTCTCAGGCCGATTTGGAAGGGGAGAGAGAACTGGAGAAGAGTAAGTCGTCGGCATGGGGGTCGTGGTCCCGGCTTGCCTGGAAGCCAAGCGCTCAGGAGGGGACTCCAAGCCAAAGAAGGGGGGAGGGGACACCTGCAGGGGCCCCCGCCGCCGTCCTGGGCCCCGGGGCACAGCCACGAGTTTCTCTGCAGAACCCAGACCGAGGCCTCTCCCATGGGCGTTTCCTGGGGCTGACCCCTGGCCCCGAGCCGCCCGCCACAGAGCCCCAGAGAAATGGGAAGTTCGGGGATGTAAAAGTTCACGCCCGCCCTTGCCCTGCACAAGGCACCTTGGAATTGGAAACTTGTGGGTTTTTTTTTCTCTTTTTGGGTCACACCCTGCAATGCACAGGGGTTCCCTCCTGGCGCTGCACTCAGGAATCACTTCTGGCGGTGCTTGGGGGACCCTATGGGATGCTGGGAATTGAACCTGGGGTTGGCCACGTGCATGGCAAACGCCCTCCCTGCTGTGCTATCGCTCCAGTCCTGAAACTTGGGGGGTTTGTGGGCTGCAAACACTTGGCCCAGAAATGTCTCTGCAAACCCAGGGAGACCTGAGTGTACCCAGGGTCTCATAGCCCCCTATGAGGACCCGGACATTGTCGGGGCCACTGCGTTCAGACCCGGTTGGCTGGGAGCTTCAGGGCTCAGGACGTCTTTGCGAGCAGGGCAGTGAGGGGTCACACTTGGCTCCCAGCACCTCAGAAGCAGCAGCTGACCCCAAGGGGCAGCGACCCCTGCCCAGAGACGTGGGGGGCTCTATTACACCCTGTCTTGAACCCCGGTCGCCATCGCCAGTGCTACCCGGCTCGAGCTGGGTCCGGGGACTCGGGGCAGCCAGACCCCCTCCCCCTAGGACCTGAGGTAAGGCCACAGGGCAGGGGGACAGCAGGGAGGGCCTGGGCGCAGCCAGACAACGCCTGTTGGGCTGGGCCGGGACAAACGGGTTTGTCCGTCTCCGGAATGAAACCGGGCAGCAAGTTCACCCTTATCTCTGCCATCTGAAGCGGGCACTGTGCCCGTTCCCGGGACCCCGGCCAGTCACACGCCGCTCCCTGCCGCCTTCCTCCATCACGCCCCTCCCCCCAGCACAGCCCCCCAAACCACCAGCATTGCCCCCACTTTACAGAGGAGAAAAACCCGGGGTCACATATGGTGGCGACCGTCCCCAAAGCTCCCGGGGGGACGTGAAGTTGAACCCCAGTGTGTGTTTGAGGGGCTCTCACGGGGGTTGAGGGGCCGCGGAAGGCAGCCCGGTACCCAGGCGGAAGGACTGGCCCCAGGACCCCAAGTGTGGAGGTGTCTGGCTATGACTCTTGTACCCTGCACCCAGCCTGAGGTGCCTCTGGGTCCCCTATGGGCTCACCCCCGTGGCCTGGTGCTGGGGATCCAACCCAGATTGGCCAAATGCAATTCAGGCTCCGCCCGGACCCCTCTTTCCTCTTCTTCGGTTTCACTCGGCTCACCCCAACTTGCCCTTCCCTCAGGTTACTATGAAGAAAACCGCAGTTTACACGTCGTGGAACTAGAAACTTTGGGGTACTCTGATGAACCCTGACCCTCCGTGGAAAAACATCTTCAAACAAAGATACTCTCTTCTTCCTTCTTTCCTTCCTTCCTTCCTTCCTTTCTCTCTCTCTCTCTCTCTCTCTCTCTCTCTCTCTTTCTTTCTTTCTTTCCTGGGGCTGGAGCAATAGCACAGCGGGTAGGGCGTTTGCCTTGCACACGGCCAACCCAGGTTCAATTCCCAGCATCCCATAGGGTCCCCTGAGCACTGCCAGGGCTGATTCCTGAGTACAGAACCAGGAGTAACCCTTGTGCGTCGCCAGGTGTGACCCAAAAAGAAAAAAAAAGTCTTTCTTTCTTTCCTTTTTTGTTTTGTTTTTGCATTTTGGGTCACATCTGGCGATGCTTAGGGGTTACCCCTGTGTCTGCACTCAGGAATGACTCCTGGCGGTGCTCGGGGGCCCCTATGGGATGCCGGGGATTGAACCTGGGTCAGCTGCGTGCAAGGCAAACGCCCTCCCTGCTGCTTTATTGCTCCAGCCCAGGGTCCCGTTTTCAGGGGAACCAGGCACGGGGCACTAGGGTGGCCGGCACTGGGCTCTGTTCAGCTCTGGCTCTAGCACACTCCGGCCCCCTGCGTTGTCGATTACATCTTTATTATATCTACATTCTTACCTGAAAACCTGAGTCCCTGACCCTTGCACACGTAAACTCAGCTGGATTTGGCTTGGGGAACGATCAAATAGTTTCAAAACCAGTCTGCAAGTCTTTGTTTGATTTTGGGCCGCACCTGTGCATACCCAGGGGTTCTTCCTGAATTTGTGTTCAGGGATCCCTCCTGGTGGACTCGGGGGACCATAGGGGGTGCCAGGGGTGGACCCGGGCTGGCCATGTGCAAGGCCTGCCCGCTGCCCTATTTCTCCAGCCCCCTGGTCTGCTAGTCAGCACAGTAGCACTGTCCTCCCGTTGTTCATTGATTTGCTCTAGCAGGCACCAGTAACGTCTCCATGGTGAGACTTGTTACTGTGTTTTGTTTTGTTTTGTTTTGTTTTGTTTTTTTTGCTTTTTGGGTCACACCTGGTGATGCACAGGGGTTACTCCTGGCTCTGCTCTCAGGAGTTACTCCTGGCGGTGCTCAGGGGACCATATGGGATGCTGGGAATTGAACCCGGGTCGGCCGCATGCAAGGCAAGTCCTACCCGCTGTACTATTGCTCCAGCCCAGGTTTTTTTTTTTTTTTTTTGCTTTTTGTAG